TATATCAATTAAAGGTATGGTGCGACCCCTGTCCCGCGCTATATATAAATCAGAATTAAAGGTAAGGCGCGGCCCCTGCCCCGCGCTATACACCTACGTGGCGTAAGACGCGCCCCAGGGGCCGCGCTTTACACATGTATATCCATGTCAGCATAAGGCGCGCTTTAGGGGGGCGCGCCTTACCCCACGTGGCGCCAAATCAGCATATAGCGCTGTGCAGGGGCACACTTTACTGCTAAGGGTGTTAGATCGGGAAATATAGTCTGACCGGTGTTAGATCGATATATATACCGTCACCGGTGATTTTTTCGGGAAAAAACCAAGATACTAAACTGAAAAAAATAGTAGAAAATAATGTGCGTACGAAAGTAGAAGTGGTTAACGGTCAAACTTAATGATCTGTCACGGTTGGACTTATTTTGATTCACAAAATAAAACGTTAGACACCAAATTAGAACGAAATAAGTGTAAGATACTAAACTGAAAAAATAGTAGAAAATAATGTGCGTACGAAAGTAGAAAATAGTAGGCATAATTAGGGGTGTAAATGAGCCGAGTCGAGCTCGAGTATTGCTGAGCTCGACTCGACTCAAAAACTCGCGAGCTTAAAATTTTCAAGCTCGACTCGAATTCGAAATCCTAAACTGAAGCTCGTGAGTAGCTCGAAAAGCTCGAAATGAAAAAAAATCTTAAACTTAACTCGATTGATGCCTCAAACTCGAACTCAAACATGAACCTTAAATACAAAAAATCTTACTATTTTTTATAAAATATTAATACATAAATATTAATATTATTAATAATTTATTTCTAAAAAAAATAAAATTTTAATATATTATATTTTCGAGCTGCTCACGAGCTTTTCGAGTCGAATATCGAGTAGCTCGCTTCGGCTCGTTAAGAACTCGAGTCGAGTCTATTCGATCCTAGTATTTATCGAGCATTGATCGAGTCAATCTCGAGTAACTCGCGATCTGTCTCGTCTCATTTACAGCCCTAGGCATAATGAGTTTTTGCCGCCTTTATTTTTTCCCAACCATTTTTGACTTTACATTTTTATTATATTTTCTTGCCCTTCAAACTTTTATCTTTATCAAATTGACTCAAACCTAACATAATAATAATTTATTTAATATTTTGTTCTTATTTAAATGTTGACTATAATTATTTTGTTACTTTTATCACGCTAACAAAAAAAATCAAAAATAGAAAAATATAAAAAGAAAATTTATATAAACATTTCAGTAAGGATAAACTAATTATTTTTACGAGTCTTTTAATGACTTGGAAAAAACGATAAGAATTAATTTAAAGGCACTACATAATGCTTCGAGATACAAATTAACAAACTAAATATTAATTTTATATTTTTAAAAAAGTATTGATATGTGATTATATACAATAATTCTACATATATAAAATAACTTGACATTTTTTAAGATATTAATGACATTGACATGTACCACTTTAGCATTAAGTGAAACTTTTGGTCTCAAAATTGATATTTTTAAAGTTAAGTATCACATTAAAAAATTGTTATAGTTCAGATGCCAATCGTAACAGTATAGTATGACAGCCACCTAGGACTTCAACTATAATGGGTTGGTAGTTATAGCCTCATTGGAGGAAGTTCGCCACACCTTTAACATATAACTAAAAAAATTGTTATTGATTAGTAGAAAAAATAATAAAATTGGTAGAAATAATAATGTTTTAATAAATTTTTATCAGTTTTATTATTTAAATAATAATAAAATTGATAACATCTTTTTTTAACGTATATTAAGATTATCGCATGTGATCATTTTCCCCTTATTGGTGAGATTATATATATAGAAGAATATTCCATTATTTATACAATACTTAAATGATTTTAGTTTTTATAATTATTTAAATAAAAATATATTATGTGTTTAAATTAGGAATGGGTATGAGACCGGAATCCGATTCGATTGGGTCGGTTTTTTGAAAAATTTTGGGGTCGGTTCGAGTTTTTTTAAAGATGATGTTCGGATCAGGTCAGATTCGAGTTTAAGGTGAAAAATACCCGAACCGACCAGAAAAAATATAATTTTACCTTATTTATTTAAGAATAATTACAATAATACCATATATATATTATTTTTCTAATTAAATTACTGTTTTTATTAAATAAAAATAATATTTTTTATTATTTTGGATCGGGTTCGGATTTTATCTTAAAAAATCATGTCGGATTCGGGTCGGATGAAGAGTATATATTTTTTAGCCGGGTCGAGTCGGGTTGGCCGAAACCCGACCCAAACCACTTCAAAGATGTTTCCTTTATTATGTTGGGTCAATAAAAGAATTCAAAATATTTTCATATTGTGATATTCGTTAAATTTTAGATTTGATTCTCAAAATATCTGATCCCTTCACTTTTATAAGTAATTCCTCTAGTTTTCCCCTTAATTCCTTTAATTATAGCAAAAATTCAAGGACAATCCTACTTCTAACAGCGACTCAGCATTAGCACAATTAAATTGGATATATAATTAATTTTGTTCTTTTAAGTGTTTCTCAAGTTTTGCCATTGGTTGGGACCTGGAACCTGATTGCCTACATAGTATACAATGAGTTAATTTCATTATATGTCCCCAAACTATAATCTTCATTCTAAATTGATCCTTAAACTTTTGAATATTTCAATTTCATTCCCAAATTATGACTCATTTTAAATTAATCCTTAAAGTTTTGAACATTTTGACTTCATCCCTAAATTATGACCCTCTTTCTAAATTGGTCCCCACACTTTTTTAATATTCTAGTTTCATTTAAAATTCATCCAAATATATATGTATAGTTTGGGATGAATTTTGAATGTTCAAAAAATTTAGGGATCAATTTAAAATAAAAGTCATAGTTTCGAGATGAAATTAAAATATTCAAAATTTTAAGGACTAATTTTAAATGGTAGTCATAATAATATAACTTGGCCTACTGAATTTATTAATAATGGGTGTGATTAATATATATATATATATATATAGTTTGAGATGAAATTTGAACGTGAATATGGTTTTGCCAGTTGTACACGAGCGATTGGAAGAGCATGTGACTTATATGGGTTTGGCAGTTGTACGTTGAGATCCGTGGTACCACCGACACCGTTTAAATGACGTGCCACACACTCTCCAGCGCACTTTCCCATTCAACTAGCTCCAATTGTCAACCTTGATTGGTATTTGGTAAGTAATTTTTTTTTTGGAATAAATATGACGACTTGATAAGTTTGTTTGGTACAAATCCTAAACAGTAAATTATTTTGTACACAAATACTTACAGTAATTTTTTTTCATTGTTATTTTCTCATAAAATTAATTTCTATGTACACCATGATTTAACCTTGGTGCTTCATTTGTCTGTTAGTAAATCACACTTTAAAATCCACATTTCAACCACAAATAATCCATGCTTTTATGGCTGCCATTGCCTACATGTGTACGTTTCGTGTTTGTTTATATAAAATAATTGGACCCACTACGCCTACTCCCCAATCAAATTTGCACAAATCATATACATGACATTCTAACTTGTAGTTTTTTCACTTAATTATAAAAATATTTTAATCTAATAATTTAAATAAAATAATATTAATCCAATTAATAACTTTTTTTCTTCTAAATATCAAACTAAGTTCATAATATATAATAATAAAGTAAATTTTCTTTATGTAATAAAATTAATTATTAATTAAAACCACTTGATAAATGTGTATATTTATTTTTTTAAAGAAATTGATCTCTCAACCCTTTTGCCAAAAATAGGCCCACCACCTTCCCCCCAACAACTTTCAGCCACCAACCCTCTCAGATTTTTTCAATGAAAAATGAAATAAAATACAATATAAACCAATCAATTTCAGTCTCAAGGAAAACACGTAATTACACGTAATACAAATAAAAATCAGCTAATAATTTTTTATTTTCCTTTACTGATGTGGCACCGGTAGTAGGTCAAACTTCAAGGCGTCTCTTAAGGCGCGTGGGTACCCGAAAACATCTTTGATTAATCACCTTCATAGTTTTCCCCTCTAATTTCGTTCATTAACCTTTTAGAAACACTTCAATTTTTATGTATACGGTTTAAATATAGTTTCTATGCTTATATTATATATATATATATAATTATTAATTGAGTTGATGTTCTATTTTATTTCAGTGGTTAAAAAGAATGATTGTTATTTTCAAAGGTTTCAGATTCGAGCACTAAAGATTGTATAATATTTGAATGTATATTATCAAATTGTGGAGACTCCTTATAACATAAACTAACACTTATAAGCACCTTAGATTAATAAAAAAATTGATATTAAATATAATAATTAATTTTTAACTTTGGATGATTAAAATGAAACTAAAACGTAACATTAGTGATAATTTTAAAAAATAATTAGATGATGAAAACAAAATCAAAGTGATAGTTCACTAACTAAATAAGTAATTTAACCTTAGTTTTATTAAATCCAAGGGTAAACTACACGTTCTATACATCAACTATCATTTTTTTTTCATTTTAATCACCCAACTATTTTTTAAATCATACTTAATCTTATGTTTTAATTTCATTTTGGTCCTTTGTAGTAAAAAACTAGCATAATTGCTGACATCAGACATGCCATTTTTCAACTTATTTCAATGATGATATGATATTTTCTTATGATGACACGTCATTACCACCATTAATTTTTTAACGGTAGGTGATCAAAATGTAACATTAGGTATGATTTTGAAACAAAAAATAGTCAGGTGACCAAAACGAAATAAAAGTAATAGTTGAGATACTAAACATGTAATTTACCCTAAATCCAATAGTTCATCCAAAACTTTCCCATGCGACACTGAAGAAAGAGCCGCGCGTAGGCTTTAGTTTCACTATTTTTTTCCCTTCACTATTAAAATGACACAAAAAAGATTTAATTTTATTTTGATTTACAGTCATTGAAAGGCAGCGGCTGCCCATTTTTGTCTATAAAAGGGCAACTCCTCCACCTTCACAATTCGTGCCTTTCCCTCCTCTGCATCTCTAATCACTCTATCTAAGGGACCGTTATCTAGATTTTCTCTCCGGTTCCATTACGGTACTGTAATTGCTCTCTTTGAGTCAAGGTTGTTCTTTTATAATTCAATTTAATTAACTCTTAACAATTATTTGAAATGGATTTAAACTTCTCAAAACCTTTGCGCTTCGATTTCCCTTTTTGCTAAAATAAGATTAAGACTTGCGTCTCTTTGTACTGAGATCTACTGTTAATTCCAGAGTATATTTTCAACTCTCACTAATGATTCTCTTTCTGGGTTTCCACTAAGATGATTTGGACTTGTGATTTATTACTTGGGTTTTGTCAAAAAGAACTTTAAAAAATTGGACTATTTGATTAAGATCTATTGAATATCGATGAGCGTCAGCACTTGATTTTCCTTCTGGAGTTTTATTTGAATGTTTTAAAAATTCTATTTCCAACTTGGGTTTTAGCCTTTAGTATTCATAGAAGAATTTTTATTTTCATGGTGAGATCTATTGGTTAGTGTAATAGTGTTAGTGTTTGATCTGATTTCGTGGCTTAGCTTTCAATTTTGCGTATTTTTGAAAGCAATTCGATTAGATCCAGTCGTTTGGCTTGGAACGTATACATCCAGAGTGTGATCATTAGTTTCTTGCTATAGATCTAAAGTGAAGTGAGCATTTTATCTCAGCCCATGCTGCATTGCGGATTAATCAATGGATCTTAGCTTTGAGTCTGATGATTTTTCAATTCAGGAGTATATGATAGAAAGAGCTTAAATTTATTTTTTATATTTGAATGTTACACAACGAATCTGAATTCTCTCTGTTATTTTGTTTGGTTCAGAAAATGGCCTCCCACATTGTTGGATACCCCCGCATGGGACCCAAGAGAGAGCTTAAGTTTGCCTTGGAATCTTTCTGGGATAAGAAGAGCAGTGCCGAGGATTTGCAGAAGGTTGCTGCTGATATCAGGTCATCCATCTGGAAACAGATGTCTGATGCTGGGATCAAGTACATCCCCAGCAACACTTTCTCTTACTACGACCAGGTTCTTGATGCCACAGCGATGCTCGGAGCTGTTCCGCCTAGATACGGCTGGAAAGGCGGTGAGATCAGATTCGACACTTACTTCTCCATGGCCAGAGGAAATGCTGCTGTCCCCGCCATGGAGATGACCAAGTGGTTTGACACCAACTAGTAAGTTTCCGTTTCTTGGTCTTACTTGATTAGCTTATCTACTGTATGCTGGGTTTTCTGATACTAAATTTGTATCCAATGTGTTGTTTCAGCCACTTCATCGTTCCTGAATTGGGACCTGATGTTAACTTCTCTTACGCATCTCACAAGGCAGTTGATGAGTACAAGGAAGCTAAGGCGGTATGTTCTCTGAATCTAATTTATCCGTATACTTATATGATAACAATGTCATTATTGTCTTTCATGTATACTTATGCTAGTAGCTAAGTTATTAGTTAGAGATAAGTTATAACAGCTAATGTTAAGACTAAGTATAGAGGTAGTCTGGAATTAGAGCAGTTAGTTTAGTAGAGTTTGTAAGTTCTTCATTGCAGTGAAATACATGATTGTCTGAATTTGGGATAGATTAAAGGCTTTGGACCTGAATAAATATGTTTTAATATGCTTTGTTCTAAACAATGGCTTAGAATGTGTAAATTTCTGGGAATGGTCTCATGTCTGTCATTATGCCTGAGGTATTATATAAGCAGTCGTTTAAATCTCTCAAGAATTGTATTTTTATATGATACAAATTTTAAAGAATGGCGGAGTGAGACTGGGGATAGTAATTACTTAGACCTGCTTGATTGTGTTGCCCTGTCTTTTATCCTATGTTTTTTAGTTCTTATATGTTTTTTTTGTCTTATGATGAAACTTGGGTGCTGATTATCTGTTCCACATGCAGCTTGGAGTTGACACTGTCCCAGTCCTTGTTGGCCCTGTCTCATACTTGTTGCTCTCTAAGCCTGCAAAGGGTGTTGAGAAGAACTTTTCTCTTCTCTCTCTTCTCCCCAAGATCCTTCCTATCTACAAGTAAGAGTTATTTCTATTTATGTCCTCGAGGTTTTATTAATGTCGCTGTTCTAATTTACTATATTTGCATTGAATCACTTTACAGGGAAGTCATATCTGAGCTTAAGGCAGCTGGTGCTTCCTGGATTCAGTTTGATGAACCCACCCTTGTCTTGGATCTTGACTCGCACCAATTGCAGGCATTCACTGCTGCTTATGCTGATTTGGAATCCACTCTCTCAGGCTTGAATGTACTGATCGAGACCTACTTTACTGATCTTACTGCTGAGACATATAAGACACTCATTGGTTTGAAGGGTGTCACTGCTTATGGTTTGGATCTGGTTCGCGGAACCCAGACCATTGATTTGGTCAAGAGAAATTTCCCCAAGGGCAAGTACCTCTTTGCTGGAGTTGTTGATGGAAGGAACATTTGGGCCAATGATCTTGCTTCATCTCTTAGCACCTTGAAGGAGCTTGAGGCTGTTGTCAGCAAAAGTATTCTATTGTCTTCTGCATTTTATTATAGCTATCACCATTTTCTTAATTATTATAACTAATATATTTGAATTACTTTTCTGATGTACAGACAACCTTGTGGTATCAACCTCCTGCTCTCTTCTCCACACCGCTGTTGATCTAGTAAATGAGACTAAGTTAGATGATGAAATCAAATCCTGGCTTGCATTTTCTGCCCAGAAAGTTGTTGAAGTCAATGCCCTCGCCAAGGCATTGGCTGGTCAGAAGGATGAGGTATCTCTTTTAATCTTGTCACTTGTTTTTGCTAGTCTTTTAAGAAGTAGGATAGCATTTCATTATGGGCATGATGTCCCGATGTTTTATCCATATTCAGATGACACAATTTCACTTGTTATTTCATCTATTTCTAGGCCTTCTTCTCTGCCAATGCTACTGCTCAGACTTCAAGGAAGTCCTCCCCAAGAGTGACCAATGAGGCCGTTCAAAAGGCTGTAAGTTTTTGATAAACTAAAATTTTGATTTTCTCTCACGTAACTGCTCTTCAATTATGGTTATTCGATGTGAAAATCTCTTTGCTTACCATGTTATGTTTGCATTCCCAGGCTGCTGCTTTGAAGGGCTCTGACCACCGACGTGAAACTAATGTTAGTGCCAGACTCGATGCCCAGCAGAGAAAGCTTAACCTGCCAATCCTCCCCACCACAACAATTGGATCCTTCCCTCAAACCTTGGAACTCAGGAGAGTTCGTCGTGAATTCAAGGCTAACAAGTGAGTTATTCTGGAATTTTTCATCTGTATCTTTATCGTAAAATGTCAATGAGACCAGTCTTTTGACTAGTGCTTTCTCCCTTCAGGATCTCTGAGGATGATTACGTTAAAGCCATTAAGGAGGAAATTAAGAAGGTTGTCGACCTTCAGGAAGAGCTTGACATTGATGTCTTGGTTCATGGAGAACCTGAGGTGAGTACACCTTTTTGTTTTGGCCTCTTGCAGTGAAGGAGATACATCTATGTTTAGTTCTTAGCAAAGCATACTTAACTATTACTTTAAACCATGCAGAGAAACGATATGGTTGAGTACTTTGGCGAGCAGTTGTCCGGTTTTGCATTCACTGTTAATGGATGGGTGCAATCGTATGGATCTCGATGTGTGAAGCCACCAATCATCTATGGTGATGTTAGCCGCCCCAACCCAATGACTGTTTTCTGGTCATCTACTGCCCAAAGCATGACTGCTCGACCAATGAAGGGAATGCTTACAGGCCCTGTTACCATCCTCAACTGGTCTTTTGTCAGAAATGATCAACCAAGGTATGCTCTTGAAAGCTGAAATCATGATTAGAACTTTTTATTTTTACTTGCTATATGATATATCATTTAACGTTCTACGATTTGCAAAAATTCCAGATTCGAGACTTGCTACCAGATTGCCTTGGCCATTAAGAACGAAGTGGAGGATCTCGAGAAGGTCGGTATCAATGTTATCCAAATTGACGAGGCTGCTTTGAGAGAGGGGTTGCCACTTAGGAAGTCCGAGCATGCGTTCTACTTGAAATGGGCTGTCCACTCCTTCAGGATCACCAACTGCGGTGTCCAGGACACTACTCAGGTTCGTATATTATTACATCACTCCTTTCAAGTCTAAAAAAAACTCTAATATCCATGAAATTCCTCATCCATGTTGTATTTGTCCAACAGATCCACACCCACATGTGCTACTCCAACTTCAATGACATTATCCACTCAATTATCGACATGGATGCCGATGTCATTACCATCGAGAACTCACGTTCAGACGAGAAGCTCCTTTCTGTCTTCCGTGAAGGAGTGAAGTACGGTGCTGGAATCGGTCCCGGTGTCTATGACATCCACTCTCCCAGAATACCATCAACCGAAGAGATTGCTGTCCGAATCAACAAGATGCTTGCCGTGCTTGAGACCAACATCTTGTGGGTTAACCCCGACTGCGGGCTCAAGACACGCAAGTATGCCGAAGTGAAACCTGCCCTAAGCAACATGGTTGCTGCTGCCAAGCTACTCCGCACCCAACTTGCGAGTGCCGAGTGAGAGGCTTATCCGACAGTCGGAGTCTTCCGAATACAATCGAAGAGGGAAAAAATGAAAGAAATTTATGCTTTATAATACGAGTATCTCTTTCTTGTGTTAGGCGTATCATGTGCCCACTTTGAGGCCAATTGATTTCCTTTTTTCGGGTGTGTTCTTTTTGCTCTAAATATTTGTGTACTTTTGGGAATATATAAAACTGCCTTTAATTACTTTGAAAGGCACATAATTTGTGAGTGTCATGTTTTAGCCAAATGAAAATGTGGGTCCTGTCTCTGGTCGTGGAGCTTCTCTCTCTTCGTTTACTTGGAGGTTGATGGATCACAAAACTGTGTCGTATTAATGCATTGACTCTTTCTGATCCTGGGTTTCCAACTGAAGAGCCATCCCAATTCAATGTAATTCCAGCGATTCCCGGATTTTCAGTCTACTCTAGTTGACCTTTGAAAAAAATAAGGGTAGATATTATAAAGAGGATAACATTTTGAGTTAGAATAAGAAATATTATAATGTTTAATCTAAAAAATTATGCTCTTAATAGTTTTTTTATTATAATTAATTTATGTCATTTCTTTTAGCTTTATGCTAACGAGTTATATTTTAAAATTTCTTAAAAATAAGTGTACTTTAATTAATGTGGTTAACAGCCTGAAAGATAAGGCGTTGATAAATAATAGCCGCCTATTAGACTTTGCTCTGTCGCCATAACTTGGGATGATTATGGAATTTCCCAATTAAAGTTCTTATCTCAAACTTGGCTTTTTTTTATGGTAAATATATATATTCGTGCTCTCAAGGTTCGACTTATTATAATTTAAATTTGATTTTAGAGTCTAATTAAAAATACAAATTTAGTTTTAAAGTCAAATTTAATATATAAAATTTTAGGGTAAATTACACGTTTAGTATCTAAAGTTTGGTCCGTTTTAATACCTAAACTTTCAATTTTTTTAGATCATACCTAAAGTTTAGTTTTTGTTTCATTTTAGTACCCCACCGTTAAAAACTTTAGTTTTTGTTTTATTTTAGTATCCCACCGTTAAAAACTTTAGTTTTTGTTTCATTTCGGTACACATGCTCAAAATTTAACGTTAAGTTTTGAAAATATTGAAAGTTTAGGTACTAAAACTGATAATTTAGGTACTAAATGCGTTAATTTTTTAACATAGGGTATTAAAATAAAATGAAAATTAAACGTTAGGTATGGTTTTAAAAAAAATTGAAAGGTTAGATATTAAAACAAACTAAAACTATAGTTTTGGTACTAAATGCGTAATTTATCCAAATTTTTATTGGTCGATTTAAATCTTTGAACTTGATTTGTTGGTTTAAATTAATATCTAAATTTGGCTTCATCATCCTAGTTGATTTAAATAATTCATTGCACGAATCAAATGACTTCCGCGACGAACGAATTGTTGTTATTCTTTGAGAATCCGAGTTCGAGCACTATAGATGTCAAGGATGTAAGCCTTTAAGGTAAAAATATTGAGAGTTATCTTTGAACATATATTACTTTATACTTACCTCATATTAATTAAGAAATCATTTACATAATTAAATTCTAATTTTGATCTACAAATAAAATTATATAGTAATTCAAATCAATCATTCATGTTCAATCTAATTAAACAAAAAAAAGTTTAGATACAAAATTAAATCTTAAAAACAAATTTAAATACTTAATTGAATAAAGAAAATTAAAGAACAAATTATAAATTAAAATCTAATCCATATATTAAAACATATATTTGTCGTTTCTTTAATATATCATGCGTTTTCAATTGCATAATCGATTTGAATTAAAGTTTTAAATGAGATACCTGCGCTAGTAAATTCTTTGAGTTAAAATTAATTAGTATTGATTAAGTGTGTAACTTTCAAGTGTATTTGAAAACTACAAGAATGCATTAATCATTCTTAGACATTATTAATGCAACTATTGGTATCATGGTATTGTACCAATTTGAACCTTGTTCCACTAAAGCATTCGACTTGTTATCTTAGACATGTTTTTATAATCACCTTCAAAACAAATTAAATTAAATTATTTAATCTATTTAATAATTTTAAAACTTACATTGTATATGAACATAGTTTTGTATGTTATTGAGGGAGAAAATAACCTCAGTGACCGAAAATGCCTTGTAATATACGATTTTGATCAAATTTTTTTAGATTTGCCAAAATGATCAAGTAAATCGCAATGCGATCGATAATTCGCAACGCGATCTCCGGTATCGCAAATCAGTTTCCAGATTCGCAACGCAATAGTCGAAGTTCGCGTTGCGATTCATTCCAAATCGTTGCGATAGGCGAAGTTCGCGTTGCGATTCATTCCAATTCGTTGCGACAGGCGAAGTTCGCATTGCGATTCATTCCAATTCGTTGCGACAGGCGAAGTTCGCGTTGCGATTCATTCCAAATATTGCATTTGTTTCTTAAGAATTTTCTCTAAAAAGATATAATTCGCGCGGACGTGTCGAAGACACGTATTACCACGACCACGACCCGAGACGGGACTTTGATCATAAATGAAGTAATTGCTAAAACTAACTCTGATTCGGGTTCTTATAGTGTTCAAATGACTTACTTGCAAAGAGTAGATGATGACCAAACAACTCGATATGTTTCCTTTGTGTCATTAGCAGCTAGTTTTCGTAGCATCCTCAGTTGAAAACTTCCATCATTGTCTCCTTTGCATTTGTTTGGTTAATATTTTTCTTCTATCAAAGTCCTCAAAGGGTAAGTTATTTATTCGAATAAATATTTTATTAGTTTCAAAATTAAACTCTTACAGACAATGAAGGTAATGGTATTGGAAACAAGTGTTGGTAATGCTCAATCCCACATAGTATTGGAAACACTATTGGGAATGGTATTTAAGGCTTGGCTTTCCCACTTCCTTGTTGAGTGATAGAGAACAAGGGGGACTCTCGCGCGCCGCCGCCGCCGCCGCCGTCCCGTCCCACTTCGCCTATCGCAACGAATTGGAATGAATCGCAACGCGAACTTCGCCTATCGCAACGAATTTGGAATAAATCGCAATGCGAACTTCGACTATCGCGTTGCGAATCTGGAAACTGATTTGCGATACCGGAGATCGCGTTGCAAATTATCGATCGCATTGCGATTTACTTGGTCATTTTGACAAATTCAAAAAAAGTTGGTCAAAATTATATATTACAAGGCATTTTCGGTCACTGAGGTTATTTTCTCATATTTATATTCAGATAGTTTAGTAATTTTTAAAGTATGGATTAATCCAAGAAGATATACCTGTATAGGTAGTAAAATAAAAACCATACATTTACTAATACGATATTAATATCTTAAATTTTCATGTCAACGGAGTTGGTTCAAGTGGTAAACAATTTAATATTTCTTAAACAAAGTTTTATATTCGAGTCTTTATGTATGCAAAAAATCTCTGTTGTGATTCGTCCATCAAAAACATATGTGCAACGTGAGTCGATTTGGATTAATCAAGACAAAACTCTGATTCTGGATTCCTGTGCTTGGCAAACTAGGTGCAATCTTATATTATCAATTCATCAAAAGTTAATATCACTGATAAAGTATCAAAACGATAAATAAAATTAAATATTAAACAGTGACTTGTGAATAAAAAAATTTAAACACCAAGTTGAGAAAATATACTTAGTTTAGGTAATTGATTTATATTTAAAATAATAATAAAAACTGACCGAGCTCGTTGAATTTAAAAAAAAAATAATTTCAAATGCTTTTCTTAAACAGTTGTGAGCTCTACTTGATTAGAGAGGAAGCTATAACCTACCTATTAATTTGTAATTGGACGAAGAAGATAAACTTGTCCACAAGAAAACATATAAAGCAAATTGGAATGGTCAACTAAAGATCGAAGAAGACAAGCTTTTTGTGACGCTCCATGCAATTCAATAATGTTTTATTTAATGCCGTTTCAAACTCTACGTTTTTCCAAATTCAACTCTTCATACCATTTCCCCCATTCTAAATTTTCTGCAAATTGTCATCTCCAAGCCCGGAGTTGACGGAAACTAGAAATCATGATGAAGAATTCACAACAAATCGCAACAAAGGAAGAGGAAGATTGCCTACGAGCCATTCAATATGCTACTTCAACGGTTCTTCCTTTTGCTTTGAAGACCGCCGTGGATCTTGATTTATTTGAGATCATAGCGGAATCAGGCCCGGACTCCAAGGTTTCGGCATCTGAGATTGTGTCGAAACTTCCGGCGAATAACCCAAATGCTGCCGATATCGTCGATCGTATCCTTCGGTTTCTTACGACTCATTCCGTCTTGGATTGCGATCTCGTTACCGATAGAGACGGGATTACGACGAGATTGTACGGTGTTTCTTCGATCGGGAGATACTTTCTTCGACGTGAAGATGGAATCTCTGTAGTTCCAATGCTGAACCTGACTATGGATAGACGGTTAATCGAGTGTTGGTTAGTCTTCTTGACTGATATAATTAATTGTCCTTCAGTCTTTATCCTTGAAAATCTATGGTTTCATTGTTATGATTATTAAAGTTTTGAGAGTATAGATGGATTTTGTATAAAATTATTTAGGAAATCGATCTAATTTCTACACTAATTGAACATAGCTGTCGACGATTTTGTTGGAGCTGTCTGACCGATTATGACCACTTTAATGATGAAGCACAAAATTGAAGGGAAAAGGAAGTAGCAGGGACCAAATTAGAAAGACCAAAAGAAATAGTAGGGGTGAAATTGAAGGAAAATGGAAAAACCAGGATTGAAATGAAAAATTACAAAAGAAAATTCAAAAATGAAAAACATGAAAGGTACGTGTCATAGAGCACACACAAGCGTAAGCTGAATAGTAACACATGAATTTTGCCTTCGATACGTGTTTAACTTTTATGAAATTTTATAACAATTATTTTTTAACTCACAATAGTTTTTTTCTTCTAGGATTTAGAGTTTAGACCCTAAACTATTTATTTATTTATTTAAATCGAATGATTATATATAATTTTATACATTGTAAGAGAATGTTGTCTATATACATATATAATCCATGCTTTTATATTGTCTAATAGGATGTGTTGTAAATTTGTGTAGGAACTTCTTGAAGGAAGCAACGCTGGAAGGTGGGTTGTCGTTTGAGAGGGCATTTGGGGAAGACATGTTTGAGGTGGTTTCAAAAGATGAGCAATTAGCCAATACTTTCAACCAATCCATGTCAAACCACACTGCCATCGTCATGCAAAAAGTCCTACAGCTTTACAAAGGATTCGAAGGCTTAACTCAGGTGATCGATGTGGGAGGCGGTTTGGGAACGAATCTTAAGCTCATTGTTTCCAAGTACCCACAAATCAAGGGCATTAACTTTGATTTACCCCTGGTTATTAAAAATGCTCCCAATATCCCAGGTTAGAAACATTTAAATACAAATGATTCGAGTCCAATTCAAAATATAAAATGTTTGACTTTAATTAAAAATAATGTTTAAATTTTGATTTGAGTTGGAATCGATTTCATTTAGTATTTTTTTTAGGCGTGAAGCATGTAGGAGGAGATATGTTCAGCAAAATTCCTAATGGAGAAGTCATTTTTATAAAGGTTAGCTCTCAAAAATTACCACCAAAATTAATAAAGAAATCAATGTGATTGGTTTAAGGGTAAAAAGTACACAAATGGTCTCCGACTATAGGGTACTACTTTATTAAGTCTCTTGACTATTAAAAGTCACAAAATAGTCATCCGACTATAGATTGTTGCTTTATTGAGTCCTTCGACCATTAAAAGCTATAAATGATCACTCAACTATTCATTATGTTCTAAATCCATCTTTTTCATTAAAAAATAGACGATATTTTAAGCTAAATGTTAATCCATTGACTGTGATATGATAAGATATGATCACAAAATCTCAAACGAATATCATATATCAATCATCATGTTAACATCCAGCTTAAACAACTGCTATTTTTTTGACAAAAAATAGTGAGTTTAAAAATAATGAATAGTCGAGTGACTATTTTGTAACTAATAGTCGATGAATTTAACAAAGTAACATTCTATAATCGAAGGACTATTTTGTAATTTTTAATAGTCGATGGGCTTAATAAAGTAGTACTCTATAATTAGGAACCATTTGTTTACTTTACCCTTGATTTGATTGGTTCAATTAGTAATTTGTTTCAATAAATATATATTGTGATTGATTTAGTGGGTACTTCACGATTGGGGAGACGATGAATGCCTGAAATTGCTGAGAAATTGTTGCGAAGCAATACCAGAATGTGGAAAAGTAATAGTGATAGAGTCAATAATGCCGGAGCTGCCGTCCACTGACGTAGTGACAACCACAACAATCCAATTCGATGTGGGATTGCTTCACCTGCTCCCCGGTGCAAAGGAAAGGACTTTCAAACAATTGCACACATTGGCCATTCAAGCTGGTTTCTCTGCTCTCAAACCTATCTGTCGTGTTTATAATTATTGGGTCATGGAATTATTAAAAAATATCCGCAATTCGCCACATTAGTCGCTACGCTAATCACACCTTGGATTTCAGTAATTATATAGATTGTAATACAATAATAATTTATGTTATTTTAATATATTAGATTTATATTTTACATAGTAAAATGTTTGTGTATACATAAATTTCGAGTCAACTCTATAACTTAATGATTTAAATTATTCTTAAAGTTTTTTCAATATTTACGAACCAAGTCATCTCAATGATTTAAATTTGTTAGTTTGGTGTCCTTTTGTGGGGTTGATGAAATTGAGAGTGGATGGTATTAGTTTACAAGGTAAAACAGGTTGTGGAGGAGTTCTTCGAAACTTAGCCGGGGACGTTAGGGCCATTTTTTCCGGACCAGTGATCGAGCAGGGGCTTGAAAAAGACAAGCAAGGTCTTCCACAAGAAAACATGAGTAAAAAATTGAATATCCCGATTAAAGATCAAAGAAAGATTTTCACTTTAATTTATCATCCATTTGGTCAATGCAAAATTATATTAAAAAAATGTTTTATTTGACGCCGTTTCAGATTCAACTTTTCATACATTTTTGTGCATTTTAGACTTTCTGCAAATCTTCATCACCAAGCCTGGAATTAAAGGAACCTAAATCATGATGAAGAGTTCACGACAAGTAACACCACTCACAAATCAACGCCCCTCTCATAAGATACATATTCTTTAGAATTTGTGGTTTGACTCTCAGTGATGATTCATGACACTGCGGCAAAGCTATTTGGATTTTTTTTTAAAATGTTTTTTGACAACGTGTTTTTAAAAGAATTATCATTAATTATTTCGAATCGGGTATGATCAAATACTTATAATTTGATTTGTGTTTAACACTAGTATCAAAGTAGAATTCGAGAGTTAGTTATATACGGAAAAGGTTAAAGTATCTCTGGAATGTCAAAATAGAAAGATGTTAGTAATACTAATTATAATTAATAATTAAAAATAAAAAAAATAACATCTTAGACAAAGAATTAAAATTTTAGATATCAATTGCAGAAAATATTAAATTAAAAGAAACAAAACAAGTAGACATTGAATTGAATAAATTAGAAATAAAAAGATAACAAGTTTCATGCTGAAAAGGACTTAATTACAAAGAAAAGAAAATTCAAAGGCTAGAAGCGCACTTATTTTATAAATACCAAAGGTGCTAATTCTAAATGTAGATCCGGGTCAGACGCGAGTATTCGTGGCTGTACGGCAGCCGCTAAGGAAATATATTGTTTTAAACGTTTTCGTAAAGTGTTACTTAAAATATTATTTTTTCTATCGGAAATATTAATTTTACTACCTAATTTTCGGTATAAAAATTATATTATAGGTAGCGCCCAATATTAACTTTCCATTAGAAAAAATAATTTTTTAGGTAAAGTTTTACCAGAAATATTAAACATTATAGGTAGTTCTCAATATTAACATTTCCGATAGAAAAAAATAATATTTTAGATAACACTTTACTAAAAATATTAAAAAAAGTATTATTATACATTATATATTAAGGATAATTATAAAATACCTTTTATATATTATTATTTTTCAATGAATTCTCTATTCTATTAAATAAAATTAATAATTTTATATTATTTCGAACCAGATTTAATTTAATCTAAAAAGTCAAATCATATTCAAATAGAGTGAAATTATCTTACTATAACCAATCATCAAGATGACCACTTCACCTCCTTAGGCACCCGAGTCTAGATTCAATTATTTTTGTTTCAAGAAATGTCCAAAATCCATAAATTTGACTAAAGATGTTCTGATTTCTTTCTCACTAATCTATATAATTTGTCGTTATATAGAGCTGATTTTAAAGTACGTGTTCTTCCACCTTATTTTGTATATTTACACCATTTGAATCGATGAACGAAAATATCATTATTTAAAAAAAATTAATCATTATTTTGAAATAGAAAATAAAATAAAAATTAGCTGATCCTATTCTCATATGTAATGGGATAAGGGGAGGTAGGGTAGTAGGTTGCCCCCAACGCCATGTTAGGAGCAGCTTCCGTGGAAGACATCCGTTATGAATTGCCCTCAGTGGGACTCGATCCCACGACCACAAGATTAAAAGCCTTGAGCTCTACTAACTGAATTAAACGGACAATTCCATTATTTTGAAATAGGTTTGCGTTAAAAGGTCGTGTCAGGTTAGTTCGATAAATTAAGTTACAGTCATGGTGCACTATTTTTCCTCTGTGTTGAATTTAAAACTCGTTTTGTTTGGAATGCCGGCCGGAGCCTGCGTATTAACTGGTGACTTGTCAAAGAAGAAAAGCAATGTAAATTAAAAAAATGTTCTATTTTACGTCATTTCAAATTCTCCGTTCTTCAAATTCAACTATAAAATTTTGTGCATTTTAAACTTTCTGCAAATCCTCATCTTCGGAATCAAAGGAAGCTAAATCATGATGACGAGTTCACAACAAATTACAACAAACGAAGAGGAAGATTGCTTACAAGCTTTTCGAATTGTTCAGTCAACATTGCTTCCTTTTGTTTTGCGAACCGCCGTCGATCTTGATTTACTACAGACCATAGCGAAACCAGGTCCAGGCTCCAAGGTCTCGGTTGCTGAGATTGTGCCGAAACTCCCGGCTAGGAACCCTAATGCCCCCGATATGATCGATCGTATCCTTCGATTTCTCACAGCTCATTCCATCTTAGATTGCGATCTTGTCACTGATCAAAATGGAAATACGACGAGATTGTACGGTATTTCTTCCATCGGCAGATACTTTCTTCAAGATGAAGATGGAATTTCTCTCGTTCCATCTCTCAAAATTTCGACCGATAGACGATTCTTCGAGTGTTGGTCAGTCTTCTTTTTCTTTCAGAATCTATGATTTCTAAGTATTAAATTAGTCCTTTACCTACGGTTTATGCTTATATCGATTATCAAGTATTCAATTCTTTATTGATCAGTACTTTGATTTATCAAATTGTTCGTCATACTTCTGAAATTATATACGGAGGATTTTTTCTTTGATTGCTATATATGGAGGATTTTGTACTCTATTGGATTGCAACTGTTATTTTTAGGGTAAACCATGCATTTAGTGCTTAAACTATAAGTTTTTGTCAGTTTTAGTATCTAAATTTTTATTTTTTTAAATCATATATAACATTTAGTTTTCATTTCATTTTAGTATCCGCCGTTAAAAATTTAATATGTTTAGTACTTAAACCATAGTTTTTAGAACCGGACCGGTTAGCGAACCGGTCGGAAGAACCGGACGACGTCATAATTGTTTAAAAAATTAAATAAAAATACTAAAAATATTTAATAAAAAATAATTTTTTATATCACAAGTCATATTCAAAGCAAGTCATAACATATATAAGTTAAAAACCATAAAATCAAGTGAAACAAAATGATTCGAATTAACTACAACATAATATTTAAGGTAAAACATATTAAATAATAAATATAATTATATAACTATAATTAAAAAAATAAATTTGGGGTTAAAAAATCATAACAAAATGATATTGTTTGGTTTAATTTTTTAAAAAAAAACAATCTCACATGGCTAAGAAACATAGTAGAGCATCCCAAAAGTCTAAAGAGTAAAAATATGAGAACAAAACAATCTCACATTGCTAAGAAACATAGAAGATCATCACAACTAACTTCTATAAATAATAGAGGTAATTTTGTATTTAAAATCATGGAGCCTTTTGGTGAGCATTGAGTGAACTATTCTTTTACTTCAATCAAGCTCGAATTTTAGGCTTCAATCAAGTTTCTAAATTTTTTGAGTTCAAACCTCTATGAGTTTAAGTTTCAATATTATATTTCGAGTTTGAGTTGAACTTGATAATTTTTAGCTTGTGAGTTTGAGTTGAGTTGAGCTTACTTTTAAAGTTTTCAAGTTCGAGTCGAGCTCAGCAATACTCGAGTTCGACTTGGCTCGTTTAACAAACGACGTTGTTTGGTTTAATTTTTTTTAAAAACAAAATTCCCGGTTTTTTCCAGTTTTCAGCCGGTCCGGTTCGAACGGTTCAGCGGTTCTGGTCGGTTCACTAGTAGCGGTTTAACCGGTTTAGATTGAACCGGACTAAGCAACGGTTCCCGGTTGAACCGGCCGGTCCGGTCCGATTTTCAAAACAAAGACCTAAACTATCAGTTTTTGGTCCGTTTTAATACCTAAACTCAAATAATATATCACATATGTAAATATATATGTATTGTATATGGTTATAAAAAAATCATTTAAACATAAATCGAATAGTATCATAATATTATAAATATTTACAATTAAATTTAAATTTAATTCAAAAACTCAACTCGGCTCTAATTTTATAAACTTAACTCGAAAAAAAAATCAAATTAAGTTGAGTTATAAAATAGATTCGTCAACTCGAATAAATCGAAATTTTTTTACTCGACTCGATCGAGCGCTCACCCCTACTATCAGTAAAGATATTAATTAGCTAAATTCAATTGACACAACTGCTATTTATTAAAATCATATTTTTATTAATCTAAGATGATTATAAAATAATATATGTTTAATTTTTTTAATAAATTGATAATAAAAGCACACGCACCCTACAAACGTTATAGTTTGAATCCAATTTTTTTTAAAAAATAACAATATTTTTTTAAGTACTAAATTGGGATGATAAGTTCATTAAAATTGTGTTTTTAATTATCTTGTGACCTTATAAATCTCATAAATTTTGGGTAGGAACTATTTGAAGGATGCTACGTTGGAAGGAGGGTTACCGTTTAGGAGGGTATTTGGTGAAGACGTGTTCGAGGCGGTTGCAAAAGATAGTGATTTAGCCAATACTTTCAACCAATCCATGTCAAATCTCACTAACATTATCACGAGAAGGGTCCTACAAGTTTACAAAGGATTTGAAGCCTTAACTCAACTCATCGACGTGGGAGGTGGGTTGGGAACAAATCTTAAGCTCATTGTTTCCAAGTACCCACAAATTAAGGGCATTAACTTTGATTTGCCCTTTGTTGTTGAAGTTGCACCCAACATTCCAGGTAATCGGATCCTACAATCGATTCAATCAAATTTAATTTAATTTTTCAAATCAAACTTGTATATCTTATAAGTGTGTGTGTTTATAAAGCCATGTATCAAACTACGTTTGAAATTTCCTTGGATTTTGACAATATCTAATTGATATTAGGTGTGGAGCATGTAGGAGGAGACATGTTCAACAAAATTCCTAATGGAGAAGCTATTTCCATGAAGGTTAGCTATCATATTTGATTTTCACCAAATTAAATTTGTGTGTGTATATATATTCAAACTAAGGTTAACAAGTGGAGGTACAATTGTTAAAGATTTTCAATGTTCAATCCATTCACTGGCTTATTAAATAAATTTAAAAATATTTTATTTTTTTATTTTACAAAAAAAAATCAATATCTTTCATCGAGTTGATCAAACCAAACTTGATATGAAATTTTATTATAAATTTAAATTAACAAAATATAGGGTAAAAGTACACAAATAATCCCTAACCATAGAGTACTATTTTATTAAGTCTTTTGGCTATTAAAATACACAAAATGATCATCACACTATAGAATGTTGCTTTGTTAAGTTATTCGACTATCAAAAGTTACAAAATGGTCACCTGACTATTCATTATGTTTCAAACTCATCCTTTTCCGTTATGTTAAAATGATAACTGAGTTATTATTGTCATTTGAGATTCCAAGATCATATTTTATCATATCACAGTCAGCATGTTAACGTTTAACTCAGAATGCTGTCAATTTTTTAACATAAAAAGATGAGTTTGGAACATAACGAATAGTCGTATGACTATTTTGTAACTTTTAATAGTCGAGGGACTTAGCAAAGCAGAACTCTATAATCAAAGGACCATTTTGTAACTTTTAATAGTCAAACGTCTTAATAAAATAATATCCTATAGTCAGGAGACCATTTGTATAATTTACCCTAAAATATAATATTCCTTTTTAAAATGATTCTTAATTGAATTGATCCAATTCTATTTTTATATCATTATTAAAACTAATAATTATATATATATAATATATTGTGATTGGCTTAGTGTATACTTCATGATTGGGGAGATGAAGAATGCTTGAAATTGCTGAGAAATTGCTATGAAGCAATACCAGAGTCGGGAAAAGTAATAGTGATAGAATCAATAATGCCAGAATTGCCCACCACTGACACAGTCACGGCCACAACAACCAGTTTCGACGTGGGATTGCTTCACACTGTCCCTGGTGGAAAGGAAAGAACACTAAAAGAGTTCCAGGCATTAGCCACTGAAGCCGGTTTCTCTACTTTCAAACCTGTTTGTCGTGTTTATATTTATTGGGTCATTGAATTGTTCAAATAATTATTGTCGGTTCCCAGTCAATGACTTATATGCATGTTGAGATGTAATTTATGTTATTTTAATATCTTTTTTATTATTGGTGTACGTGTTGTACTTGATATAATTGAATAATTTAATATCTTTTTAAGTTACTTGAATACAAAGAAAGTCTTTTGAACCTTTCTTTTAATAATGTTTAGAGCAGTCTTAAAATATTAGTGGGAAGATAACGACAAGCATGATTATCATACGATAAAATAGAGATTTAAATATACAAACTAATTTATCTCAATAGTTATATAGATTATTGTTACTTTTTGGAATTTTAATGTTCAGCCCACTTGTAGCTGGAACTTAAGGCGTATTTTTAAACTAAGAACCGAAGCTTCCTCAATTTTATCTGCTGGAGCAATGAAAGTTTCTGTAATTTGGGATGCTATTCGTGATAAGAGACCCCATGTCCACTGGCAGAAATTATCTGGTTTCCTCTTCACATATCTGAACACAGCTTGATTACTTGGATGACATTACTTGATAGACTTCCAACAAAGGTGAGACTTCACCAAATGGGGATTATCAATGAATGCAACTGCCTATTCTGCAATGCTCCTTGGGAAACAAGGGAGCACTTGTTCCTCCATTGTCCTATGGCAAATCAATTATGAAATTCTGTTTTCACTCACTCTGGTATGCAATTTTCCATCACCTCTTGGGATGCTTTTTCTGTGCGGCAAGCTCTACTTGGAAAGGTAAATCTTTGCTAACTTCGATTATGAAGCTTGTCCTCAATGCCTTCATCTACATCCTCTCGGAAGAAAGAAACAAGAGACTTTTTCAAGGTCACTGTAGAAACGTCCAAGAGTTGTTCCTTGCCATAAAGGATGTGGTGTGACTTCAACTGAGGGATAGGGATATAAATAGAAATGACATCATAAATTATACCCTTTGTAAACTTTGGGATATTAATTGTTCTTGATTCTTTTTGTAAGTAGAATGTTTTTGGAAACATAACACTGCTGTTTTTGTAGCAGATTTTGTTCTATTGTTGGACTTGTTCTTTGGGTAATGAAATTGATTGATTTATCCAAAAAAAATTATAAATAAAAAATTATTTTTTTACCAATATAAAAAATAAAAGAATACAATATAAATTTTCCAACTTAATTCCAACACTAAACATAAATGAAAGGAATTAAAATCTAAAAGGAGTCTCTCATCTTTTTCTTTAGATACTCTACTAGTCTCCATCTTCCTTATTAATTTAATATTTTCTATTACCTTTGTAATTACGAATCTTTGATTGATTTAGATATAGGTTTACGTCACAAATAAGTATTTAAAGTATAATATTTTTTATTTAAATATTTAAATTATTGTTTGATCAAAATAAGTATCTAAATTATTATCTTTTTCATTTAGATATCTAAAATAATTTTTTTGTCAAAGTTGGTACCTAAAGTATACCATTATTTCATATAATTTTGTTTGAATTTCATTTTGATCGTCTATCGTTAAAAAATTAACGGTGATGCTAATGTGTCACCACATGATAATGTCACCACATGATAATGTCACGTCATTATTAAAAAACAAAAAAAAACTATCATGTTAGTAGTTATGTTAATTTTTTAACGGTGAATGATCAAAACGAAACTAAAACTAAACATTAAATATAATTTTAAAAAATAATAGTTAAATAATAAAAATAAAATAAAATAAAAATAATAATTGAGATACTAAACGTGTAGTTTACTCTAAAATATATAAATCTCATATATTAATCAGGCTCCAGTCCATATACAACAACAACAACAACAAAACCCTATTTCCATGTGTAATGAGATAAGGGGGAGGTAGGGTAGTAGGTTGCCCCCAACACCAGGGTTGAGAGCAGCTTCCGTGGAAGACCTTCGGCAGTCAGAAAATTAAAGATAAAGATAAAATGCAATGAATATATAAATAAATAAATAAATACATAGTTGAATAATCTTCATATGCCATCTTCATATGCACGACTGCAATGAGAAATGAAATGGCTGTCCCTTTTTTCCCATATGTATGGGGTAAGGGGGAGGTAAGATAGTAGGCTGCCCCCAACACCAGGTTGAGAGCAGCTTCCGTAGGAGACCTCCAAATTATGAAATGAGAAATAATCCCTGTAAATAAATCACTGCATTAAAATCTCTGCATATAGACAGAAACTTAAGACCCGACTAAATTTAAAAAGAGAGAACATGAAGAGAATGATACACAATAGTCAACGGTAGCAAGCTACGAAAATGAATAAAGTCTAATGAGTTAAAAACCTAAATTAAGACAACACTACTCCGCTACCCTAGTTCTAAGCCTTCATAAATTCTAATGACAGAAACCGTATATAAAGTATAAGTCATGGAAAATATTACAAAGGCATTAAAAAGAGGACAGAGATGTTACACCCTATGTTTGTGACCCATACTACTCGGCTACCCTGGTCTTAAGTCTTCATACTTTCCTATCAGAGGTCATGTCTCAGTAATGGCTAAATAGAGTCCTACCATATACCCATCGAAGCATTTTCATTTTTGCGGCCTCCATCCTTCTTGATTGCCCAATATTCTGATCCATACAGCAGCGCTGGTCTTATTGTCATTCTATAAAATTTTCCTTTAAGTTTTAGAGACACCTTCTTGTCACACAAAACTCAGAAGCAGCCTTCCACTTTAGCCATCTCGCCTTTATACGGTGTGTAACGTCATCATCTACACCCCCATCTTTATGTATCATAAACCCTAGGTACTTGAAACAATCATTTGAGGGGAGAACGTGTCCTTCGATGCATATTCTACATCTTATCGTTTTGGTTCCCATTGAAGTTTGAACATAAGTACTTTGTCTTTTCAATATTGATCCTTAGACCTTTTTCTTCCAAAGTAGTCTTCCAGGTAGTCAGTCTTCTATTCTGATCAGTTTTTGTTTCGGTAATTAGGACAATGTCGTCAGCGAAAAGCATACACCATGGAACACCGTTTGGTGTTGCACAATAGATGTCATCCATAATCAAGGCGAAGATATAAGGGCTAAGAGCCGACCCCTGGTGAAATCCGATTTCTACCGGGAATGCCTTGGTGTCGCCAACTGTAGTCCTGACGTAAGTGGACTTTTATAAAGTGGACTTAAGATCCAAAGCTAGAAAAAGTAGTGCCACGTCCAAAATTTATTTCTTTATAAAGTATCATAAAGGAGTTATTTCTTTCTTCTCTTAAAATTCAGCACTTTTGATCCGAATTTGTTAAAGAAAATCACAGAACTCTCCCTTACCCATTACTCAGGAAAAAATGCACTTTCCTCTTTTCTATTTCATCTATCAAATTATTATTATTTGTTTTGCAGGTGATTATTCGAACTTCCCTTTCTAGTCTTTAAGGTTTATGTGGATAGCCTCTTTGAAGCATGCAAGTCTTATTGCTTTCATTACGAATATAAATCTGGGTTTTTATTTTCCTGTCTTTAATTTTTGAAAAAAATCGAAGTTTGCCTGTTTGTTTGTTTACTTTGCTTCATGTTTTCGTGTTTGCTTAGTATCGTTGACTTCTATGAATTATTCTCTTCATGTTTTCTTTTTTAAATTTAACTCGGTCTTACGTTTCTGTCTATATACAGAGATTTTTATGCAGATTTATTTGTAGAGATTAATTTTCATTACAGACGCGCATAACAAGACTGCATAAGAAGACTGTTTAACTATGTATTTATATATTTATTTATACATGCATTGTATTGTATCTTTATTTTAAATTTTTTGACTGCCGGAGGTGTTTACGGAAGTTGCTCTCAACCTGACGCTGGTTGCAGCCTACTATACTACCTCCCCTTATCCCATCGCGTATGGGAGTAGGATTTTAATGTTGTTGTTACTATGTGTTCCTTGTTTGTTAATTTTCGAATTATATTAATGAAATAATTGCCCAGTGAACTTGTTGAGGAAAGAGATGGGCTAAAATTTCAATGGAGAAAGGAAAATTAGCAAAAACCAAAGAGGAGTGATTGTGTAAGTGATTAAAGTGTCCTGGATCAAAATGATATCTCTAACTCACATAGGTGTATTAGAATCTTTGTGCAAGTTTCGTGCCCGGGGGAGCTGTTGCTGGCTTGTATGGGGACATAGCACATTTCTCCTTTGTTGATCATGAAGCACATTGTTTATTTATTTATTTATTTATTTAATTTTGACATTTTGTGTTGTGTTTTGTGTGCTATGTGTATTATTTATAAATTGGTTTTGTTTGTCAGCAAAAGCTGAAATGCAAGGGAGCTTGATTTTTTTTTTGAAGAATTGGTTAATGACTTTGAATGTGTGTCCTCTGGTATTTATATAGTTTATCCCAACTTGGAAAATCCTTTGTTGATGAAATTTCGAATGACCTTCAGCAAATTTTATGGTTCAACCCTTGCCAGTATTCCCCCTAAAATGCGAGAAACCTGATAGTCACCACCTTTGTGTACCGCTAGTTTATTATATTTCCATATTTTCTGAAGCGGTTATCGAAGTTTTTTTTAAGTTTGTTAACTGTTGCATTGTGCTTTAGGGAATCTTCTCAAGAAACTCTTCTTCCTGGATTGCCAGATGATTTGGCTTTGAGATGTCTTGCCAGGTTGTCACATGGTTACCATGGAGTGCTTGAATCTGTATCAAACAGGTGGAAAGATTTGGTTCGCAGCTCCGAGTATGCTAATTATAAAGCTAATCAAGGATGGTGTGGGGATTGGTTATTTGTTGTGACCGAACGTTCCAATAATAAGTGGATTGCCTATGCTCGTGAAGCCAATAGATGGCATCCGTTGCCAAAGATTCCAACAGACCATGATGGTTTGCAGCATTTTGGATTTTCAGGTGTGTGTGTCTGCAACCGGCTTCTTGTGATTGGTGGCTCTCATGCACCACGTGATACTGCTTATCCGCGACAAACTCCTGTGATAACGAATGATGTTATCCAGTTTGATCCTTATAGGAAAAGGTGGAGCAGATTAACGAGTATGCGAACACCACGATCTCACTTTGCATGCTCTGTTATGTCAGGGAAAGTCTATGTTGCAGGAGGGCGCAACTTATCTTATCACCGAGGGCTTTCTCTTGCCAAGGTTTATGATCCGCTAAGTGATCAGTAAGCTCCATTTATTCAAGGATTACGTGTTTTTGTTTAATCTTAAGAGGGTTGATAAAACAGCTATAGTATTATCGCAACTCTCTGCTACTTTCACTTGGTGCATCTTGCTGACATCCGGTGGATGTTTTAATTGTTTGAAAACGTGTTAGAATCATTTATTTCTTATGGTATCAATCTATGACATATGCACAATTTTCTTTTATTTGCAAAATTGCTTTGGCTAGGTTTATGACTTCAATGGTACTTGCAGGTGGGAGGATGTGCCGGAAATGCTGAACCCACAAATGGACTGCCTAGGTATATAATATAAAGGCAAATTTCATGTTTTGAGTGACCAGGTAGGCTTGTCAGAGCAGAACCCATCCGAAATTTTTGATCCACCAAGTAAAACATGGCACATGGTCAATGATATTCGGCCTTTTTCGAGGGCAATGCAATTTGCTTTTCAGGTGATGGGGGATGATCAAGTTTATACTGTGGTGGATTGGGGTGAGAGCTTAGTTAAAATAAGAGACTCTTTAAGAGGAGAGTGGTACAATGTTGGTGCCGTTCCTCCGGTTCGCCTTCCTGATCACTCCCGAGAACTTGAGGCCTTTGGTTATGGTTTCGCTGCACTAAGACATGAATTATATGTTCTTGGAGGGAAAGTTCTCAAGTGGGAAGATTCAGGAGCTGGGAGGTTTGATGTGGTGATGTTAGCTGGGGTGAGAGTTTGTGATCCTTTATGGAGGCCGTTAAACTGGAGGGAAATCCGGCCTATGTGTAGTCCGGCCGGTGGATCCATTCTTGGCTGTGCCTCCATGGAAGAAGAATAAACTTCTTGATCTGGACAAAAGAAAAATGGATTTTCTCATGTACTCACTAAAACCAAATACTCTTCACGAGAGTGCAGGTCAACTGAAATGCGAATATTTGTGCTGAAGCCAGACATATCCCTCAATGGAAAACCTCGAATTACATTATTCCCTGAGCTCTTTAGAACTCTTAGATCCATGTCTCGAGTAACTGATCACCATCACAGTACATACACAGTAGAAACATCTCTCTCTGTCTGTTTATGTTAGTTGAATACGCTATTTCTAGAGCAATCATGGGAATTTATTACAATTTACCTGTTTTCTGCCCTTGTTCTTCATATATGTAATGATCATCTCTGTATTTCTAGAACTTATAATCCTGTTATTCATAGCCCCCCAAACTTATAACGCAGGTATTGTTGCTCTAATCCGGACTCGAGATGAGTGTTGGATGTGGCTTGCAGAACTTAGTGAGCCAGTTATTTATTGCCCCAAAAGCATGTGTTGTGGTTTGCAATGAACTGCCAATACAGGTATTGACTGTTCTAAAGTGGACTCAGGATTAGTGTTGCATATGCTCAATTATTTATAAGTTTTTTGTTCACTTATTTGGAGGATCATATGTTATATTCATTGGCCAGACAGAGCACTTGCATAATAACAATTGTAAAATATTTCAACTTCAAAACCTTATTATTTTCTTGTTCAAGTAATTTGGACTACTACGAATCTTTTCCTGCAATTTTTTTGCTATATTTTTTCACATCAATGCATATTATATATGTATGTATACATGGATTCATCGCTCTCTGTTTCGTGAAGAAAATTCAAAATGCAAAATGTCTGGCATATTGGTATTCTGGAGGTGGAGTGTATCGTACTTACGGTCCGGTTTCAGTGACTTGCTACTCTGTGGGAGAAGCAGCTTGGTGGATCTGCTTCTCGACTGCGACTGCAACTTCACGGGTAGCTATGGCTTCACTTATCTGCTGCTACTGCTTGGCTTCTTTCATCATCCTTTCGATGTTGGCCTTTCTTGCGATAAGGGTTTCTATCCTGTTATTAGTTCTCTCTAGCATTCGTTTTAGCTTGACAGGGTCTTTGCATTTTCTCTTCCCCTATCATTCTGTCTTCTTTATGATCTTTATCCTTTTTCTTCTTTTCCTTTGTCTCGTCGTTTTTCTTCCCTTTTTTCGAGTTGTGATCTGTCACTTTTTTCTTCCTCTCTTTCTTTTTCTTTCTTGAATCTGAATCCGAATCAGAAGAAGATGAAGTTGACGAATCTGAGGAAGATGAGGAAGAAGAATCTGAGGAAGACAAATGAGAATGCTTCCTCGTTTTCTTGTTCTTATTCTCTTCGGTTTTTCCTGCTCCACCTTCGACTCTTTATCCTTCTTTTTTTCTTTTCCTTCCTTTTTTATCGTTCTTCTTCTCTTTCTCTTTATCTCCATAAACATTTTTATCTTTGTCTCCATGTTCTCCTCTTTTTCCTCATGCTTGATAGGATTTTTACATTTTTTCTCTCTCTCACCTTCTTTGCCTTCTTCATGATCTTTATCCTTCTTCTCTTTCTCTTCGTCTCCCTTAACAACATCGCAGATCAAAACACCTATAATAAACGTTGATATAGAAATCGTGTACCTTAAGCTCACAGCTATGTATAATGTATCATGTATTACACTCTGCTGAAATGGACAGATGCAATAAGATCTGTTTTTGAAGACAGAAATGGTGATAAGACAGCGCTATTAAAAGGAAAAAGAATTTGGAAAATAGAAAAAAAAATGGTTAAAATTTTATGAGGGAAATAAGTGTTGCATCGTATGGCATATGTATCTAATAAATTCCACCCTACAGAGCAAAGAAAAAAAACAATCAAACTAATAACGTGATAAAAGAATTGTCTCTACAAAACTGTCATTGGAATCCTTTCTCTACGCAAATTTACACACATTTAACAGCACCGAGTTTGAGCTTCTCTTCCATGGTGATAACTAAAAGGCATTTTTATGCAAAGGCTGTAATTCTTTCAATCGTGATGGTATGAGCCAATATAAAAATAACTCTGGTTTTCTTTGTCACTGCCAATAAAGACGAAAGTCATTGACTACTTGTTTATCTCAAAAGCTGTTAAGTAAAAGAATGGCTACCCTTGTGCCGGAAAAAAGAATTTCATTCCATAACTCACCGGAAATCGAATTTGGTTGAGAGGAGATTGTATAATCTGTAGAGAGTCCAGTTAGTCATTAGGATCCCATTCTTCGTCGTGATCAATCAGTGATGTTAAGCAACTTGTGACATCAGTTACATCGGATTCTAGCTGTTCGACTGCATCTTCATTGTCTTCTGCTGATTCCTTGTCATTGTCTATAGCGCCTCCGGCCCTAGCTGAATGCATCCATTTGGGGCACTGCTCTTCACCTCCATAAAGAATCCTGCCATCTTTGCCTTTTATTTGTTTTGGAATCTCAACGGATGGGATCCTACAAGAGCATTCGGGAAGTGGATGTGATAGAAAAGATTTTGGCTTCGACAACAGTGATTGCCAGATGAGGCCGTCTTCACTCAAACTTCTGTTGAGATGTTCCTTAACCGACAGCGTCCAGTTACGCTTCGGATGGTACATATCGTCACGCATAATGTTGAAAAGTGTAGCAATTTTTTTCCTGTTTGAAGAAATAAAACAGAAGTGAAACAAAACACGATTACAGAGAAAAAGGTTGAATAGCTCATAAAGTTTTATATAAAACGAAATCGATTTCTGCATACGAACTTGTCCGGTCGGTAAGTCCTAGAAGAAGCTCTCTCATATAATCTCTGTCCTATAACCAAGCCTGAGAAATCTGGCCATCCACTACCATCATTGTTAAAACCAGGAATAAATGCATGCGCTTCCACAGAGACCATATAATCGAGAGCATCCCAAATTAACCTGTGAGCTTGCTTCCTAAGATCCATAGGTGAAGGGTCAGGTTCTTTGTCGGTCTCTGTAATCCAAGCATACCAACCTTCTTTCTCATGTTGGTATATGGGCCTATCAGGAGGTGGAGGAAGAGGACGGGGCCGTGGACCAGCCTTTTTCCACTCATCTATAACTTGCTGCTCACTTTTTTGAAGAGCTGGTCGAAAAATATTATCAGCAAGAAGAGGAGCTTCGGGACTGACTAAGTCCAGCAACTCTGTCTCGCTGCACAACGTAGTGCGATCTACTAGGTTCGGAAACAAAGCACGTAGAGGGATCAGAAGACGTTGACCACCAAAAGTTTCTGATCCTGCCAGGTATATAATTGTTTGAGAGGGATAGGCCATCGCACGAAGAAGAAGCCCGACCTACAAAATTGGGGAATAAACTAATATAAGAGAAGCACAACGGTCCATTACTGTAGTCATTCAAACATCCTTATGTCTTCTTGAAGAGTAACTTTAAGTGCTTATTAGGTCATATATTTAAAAGAGCTAGATTGGATTTTGCATTTACATTAAGGTAATGTGTTATTTAACCACAAGTACTCTACTTTAATGTTACAACGGCATTGGATCAGTGGATTCGACTAAGATTTCCGTATCAATGTCGTATTTTATTTCTACCCCTCTGGTATTCTCACTCTGTTTCCCAACTATTTCAACCCTCCTTTCTCTCCATTGTATTCATCATTCCAACACCATATTAGAAGTAAAAAAATTGTAAAATCTCAAATTAGGACATATAAACTTTGATGTGTAAATTTCAATCAACCGAACATGCAACAAGGAAAGAAACAAGCAAATTGTTGGATTATCAAGGAATTGTACATAAAATGCGCCCAGAGAGCGTGACCCTGGTTTGCAACTGAGGATTCTATTTGTAACATACCTCTTCAGGCATAAGAGGGCATGAACCATTTTCTCTTCGCATGTGTTAGTCAACTCTTAGTTCATCATTAATAATCCCTTGCTTGATCAACTGTGCCCGTCGGTATAGTATAAGTTCTGTATGAACATCCTACGATAAGCATCAAATACCTATGAAGCAAAGGAAAATTACACAGAACTGGTGACAATGGAAGTCCTTTAGTTTTCTTCAGTTAAATTTGCAAAATACTCCACAAGAATGTCAAAAGTTGACTTTGTTAGACTTTAGGGGGAAAATTATATGCGGCAGTAAAAAAAGGATGAAACTTAGGGTAGACATAAACAGCTGACCTGGTGAAGTTCAGCACAACCATGATATGCCAAGGTGTCTCTTACTAAACCTGGATGATACGCTAGGAATGGTTGTCCCGATGCTCGAAGCCTAAAGGAATATTAGAAAGCTCCGGTTCATCAAGTGTAGGCATATCAAATGATACTCATGTGAAGTATAGTTGCAGATGCATTAACAAGGAGAAGATATGTAGCACAAAGAATTGGATAAATCTTGATAGTGCATTGCATTACTTTCATTTACTGGGAAAGGCAAATGGAAATTATACCTCTCCAAAATCCGGAGGCCAAGGATCTGAATTTCAGGTCGAAACTGGAGTGCATGAAATCCAATCCTGCATCTAAGCCTCTGAAACTCGGACATACTAGGTGGAAGAATAGACTGAAAGACATATGGTTACTGCTTTAAGATTTGATCTTATAGTTTTGTCTTCAATTTAGAAAGTCCGCATTCACAAGAAACAGTAAAAAAATTTCACTAAGGCTCGGTTTAATTCACCAAAAGCAACCCCCAGAAATTATAAAAGTTCCAGAAAGACATTTTAATGAAAGAAGTTTTTAGCATGGAGAAAGTATACTGCAACAGCAAGCTACCGCCTGACATTGACAAGCAGCTCTCCAACCAAAATTACCTTGAAAATATCAGAAGAAAGAAAAGTCAATCTTCATTCCCCTAGAAACAAAGATGTATTCATAAAACAATGATACAATGGAGATGTTTCAACATGCATGTATGGTTTAGAGATAGGTATAAACTAATGAGTTAAACTAATAAGGGCCAAAGAAGTAAGAACCAATCCCCTTGAATTTAGAGAGAAACAAATAGGTTCATCTGAACAAGAAATCAGTTCTGAAAGCATTTTTTGCAGTTAGAGAATGTATTTGGAGAAATCTTGGAAAAAGACTTGAACTTCAAACTTTTTCGATCTTGGCGCAGCTATGATAAATTTGTAATGTACAATTACAAGAGACTAAGAACTACCTGCAGGCACCGTCCATCTGTGATAATCAAGCCGACAACCTTTGCTTTCTTCAATTTTGGCAAAACTTCTTTGACATATAAATTTGGAGAAGCAGAATTTCGTGGCTTGAAAATAGGCAACTTGCTCCTTTTCCTTGCAGCCTTCAAATGCTCGGGCAGGGTTTTTACAATTT